ATGTTATTAATTATAAAGATATAAACATAAACATTAAAAAATACACGTTCCAGTCCACACAAATTTTGTTAAAAGAAATGTTTTATATTTTCGGCAATATTTCAACAGCCCTGATAGCCCAGTGGTTAACACGTTCGCCCTCCCCGCTTCCCAATGTGTATAAATCTGGTCGGATGTCAAATAAAAGGAAAAAAACGCGTTCGCCCCATAAACCAAAGGTGGTGGGATCGAATCCTGACGGGGCCGTTTTTTCTTCTTCTTTTTTTTTTTATAACTTTTCTTTTTTTACATTATTTTTGCCAAATTAATAAATTTGTAAACTCGACATTTATAATTTGTTAGAATAAATCATTATAAAACATAATATGTAACCATAAAAGCAGTTTTATCGACTTCGAAATGGTGAATTAATGGTGGTTTAAAGGTGGTTTAATGGTAGCTTAATGGAGTTTGGACATTAAGCACCTATACGTTTGGCTTAATGGTAGCTTAATGGTGACTAGAAGCTACCATTACGCACCTTTAAGCCACCATCAAGCTACCTTAAAGCACCCATAAAGGACTTTGAAATAGCTTAATGGTTACTTAATGGTGGTGTATTTATTACTTAAAGATAGCTTAATGGTGCTTAATGGTGACTTAAAGAAAACCATTAAGCCACCATTTAGGATCTATAAGCCACCATTAAGCCAAGTTTAAAGAAAGTGTTTCATCTTGTGAAGTGAGAAACGTTTCATCTTATTTGCAAAACTAAATTATACTTACCATACAGTAAACCTTGTGTTTGTCATCTTTGCCTTCTTGTATTGGTCCTTTGTTTTTATCCCTCTTTTTCCTTCCCTAAAGTTAAACAAAATGAAGCAAGTATCATAAAATTATCATATTGTCTGAAATCGCCCGCGTGACGCAGTGGATAGAGCGTTTGCTTTAGATCGCGTATAAGGAGTTTATCCTTACTTTGCGGGTTCGAATTCTACTGGAAGATGTGAAGACTGGTCCTTCGGTAAAGACCACATAAACTTAGGTATTCTGTCGCACTAGGTCCTGGTACAAAAAAAATCTTCCTCACTGATCAATGACCCTGTTACTGTTTGTTTGTTTGTTGTTTAACGTCCCTCTCAATTTTTTTCTTCACTCATATGGAGGCGCAACCACTTGCCGGTGGAGAGTTGCAAATTTTTACCTATACTCGGCATTTAATGTCATTGAGCAGTGAGGGATCTTTTTTGTGCCAGCACCTAATGCGATAGGGGGCCTCGGTTACTATGGTCTCATTCGAAAGATCAGTCTCCACGTCCCACTTGCACAGTGTGTTTCAAACAATCAATCAATTAATATATATTTATTAGAGTATTCATCAATGCATTTTATTTCATATGTATGTACATAGTCGGGTTCAAACATAAGACAAAAGATAGCCTTTTTACCCTTACAATTTTTATATAAGTGGTATATATCAATCTTCTTGAGACTTCATAAAAATGTCTATTTGAAAGCTAGGAATCATACTTTGCAAAAGCATTTAACATATTTGATCCTCCATATTGATTTTTTTTTCCTATTTCCCCTCCGAAAAAGGAATATTTTGAAATTTGACAGATTTTTTAAATATCATTATAGAGATCTCAATATTCTATAAAGTGGAATTCACTTCAATAAAATGAATTCCTTTGTATTTTAGACAACATTTACATACTCTTTCATTTCTTTGAATATATGCCTGTCGCATTGTATTTCCAAATTATTACTGGATACCCTTAATCTGCACAAAGCTAATCTATAACTTTTACAATTTTCAGATAACGTTCTGGTTCATTCAGGGATTTAAGTGTAAAATAAAAATCCAGTTTTCTATAATTATTTCACATAGAGTGCCACTCTTGCATAAACATATCTTTTGCTTTTGCACAAATTCTATCAAAAATAAGGATGCATTTCCAACACCTTGATTTATCCAAACATAGTTTTCAAATATTTATTTTATATATAGATAAAGTCGATGTAGACCATTTTGTGTGAACTCATTGCTGATCACAAATGTGTCAGACTTTGTGTTATCTTTTATTGCACGTTTAATGGAATATATCGAGTCGAAATATGAAATTAAAGGAAGTAAGTATTGTTAATTGATAATACATTATCGACACATTTAAATGTCAAATTAAAGGCCACAGTAATGTTTTTCTTCTCATGTGTGATTTTAAACGAATTCTTTATAGAGCGCTTCATATATATACAAAAAAGGTCTGCTTATGACGGGTCGTAATTCGTACCAATGACAATTACGACAGATTGTTGGAAAACTTGAACATAGAAATTGACATTTAGAAAGTCAAGCATATTTTTAATATCAACTTCAGAACAGTTGAGTGTACAATCAGAATTTTTTTTAACAAAATAGTTTTACAAATGACCAATGTCAAGGTGAGTTATATTAAGAGTTCCTTTTTAGAGAAAAGAACTTAAAGAGGAAAAGGTTAGTTTATAAATATATATGTCAGGCAAATTATTTGGATGCGATTTTTTTTTCAGTTATTTAAATCATTTTTGAGTTTGAGATTTTTTTCCTCATTTTGAGACGCCACCACTTGCTACTAGAGGGCTGCAAATTGAGATCTGTACACGGAACTTAATGCCTTTGAGCAGCGAGGGATCCATTTTCTTGCCAGCACCTACTACGACATAGGACCTCCGTTTACACGGTCTCATCCGAAGTCGATATCCACGTCCCACAGTGGCATTCAAACTTGCGACATAACAAACAAACACCACTTGGCTGCAACCTGGCGCGATTTGCAGTCCACCTATATACGCAGCACAATTAAGGATACAAAAAGGAGGCGGGGTCTATTTTTTACGGGAAAAAACAAATCCCACCTGTAATATTTTAGAGGTCTGGGTTTGCTCTTCCAATATTTTTTTGAAGCAACTCTTTAACTATATTTCATTTCGTTATATCCATATTTCACTTACAAATTTTTTTTAAAAAGTGAAGTCTGCAAAATATTGTCCTAAAGTTAGTTTTTCAGCGTGAATCTATGGGTGTTTTAAAATGACAAAAGTAAATAATAGAAATGAGTTTGACATATTTATTTTAACTTTATGTATTTTACTAAAAAAGGATGTAAATTGCAACTTTTCTATCGTCAACTTCACCTATTTATATGGCAATAAACAAATGTAAGAACATCACCAGCATATGAAGTCCATGTCTTCCAGAAAATTCAATTTACAAAAGCATATCCGAACACTGTCTAAAACAAAGACACTCAACGTCTCGTTTAAAGTCAACATTTTGATGCCTTCAATTCGACATTTAGATATATCGACGACCTATTGTCAATGAACAATGGAAATTTCCTTTCTTATGTCGAACGATATATCCCGGTGAGATAATGAGATAAAAGATACCACAGAGTCTGACACATTTGTTTCATATTTGGATATTTTACTTGAAATAGACGTTAATGGTAATCTAACAACCAAGCTTTATGATAAACGTGATGATATTAAGTTCTCAATCGTCAACTTCCCTTACGGGGTTTATAGCTCTCAGCATGCTCTACGTATGTACAATTTCTAAAACGAGGTAGATTATTGACAAACAAGTTGATGACACAAGAATATGAGCAGTCTCGTTTAAAGTCATCATTTCGTAAGTTCTATGGTCGATACAGTGACTTTGTCAGCAAATACAGTTTATCATTGAATCGAATGCTGACTGACGTTTTTCATACTTATTGTTAGGCCATTATTTACACACTGAATTGTAGACGGATTTTTCCGTTATTTCCCGATCATGACAAGGAGCACACGGCGGGTGTGACTGGTCAGCAGGGGTTGCTCACTCCTTCATGGCACCTGATCCCACCTCTGATGTTTTGGAGGTCCGTGTTTGCTCTGCTCCTATTTTGTATTGTTTAATGGACTTTTGAGCTTGAATACTGTTCGTTATCTCCATATATTTCATGATCGATACAATGGCCCTAATATCAATTACAATCAAATGTTGTCTGGCGCTTTTCTTGCAAATTGTTACCATTTTATTCACACTGACTTGTCTGCTCCCCCGATCATGACAAGGAGCACAAGGTGGATGTGACCGGTCGATAGAGAATACTTCGTCCTCCATGGTACCTGATCACGTCTGTGATATTTTTGTATTTGATCTGCTTCTAATTTTTATTCTTCCAATAAACTTAAGAGCTTGATATCTATTAAATTTATTTATATTTCAATAAAATTAATTCTGTGTAATCAATAAGTAGAATGATACATCTCTCTCTGTCTCTCTGTATCTCTCTCTCTCTCTCAGAAATCTACGATTAATTGACCAGTTTCTTTGAAAAAAAGAGAAGAGATTTGTTAAAGAAAATAAATCAAAAGTTACAATACCAGATAGATTTCAGGATCTTTTTTAAAGGGTAGATATCCTGGCTCCTTTTCATCACAGCAATTCCACTGAACCTTAAATAAATATTGCAACATTAATAAATATTATATGAATAATTACTTTCAAAACTATTGTTTGCTATTATTATTATTTTTAAATCTTACATTATTCATAAATTCTGAAACATATGAAAACAAGATTTAGTTTGATAAGCTCTGGGTTTGAATTCGTCAATACTGAGAAAGGAAGACTAAAAGAAATTGCATTTTCAAATAATTAAACAGGTACAAGTACAATAATATCAATCACCATATATAATAAACTGGTTTTCTCATCTTCCTCCTGATCACCAGTTTTTACCTGAAACACATGTTAAAATCGATAAATGATGGACATTACAAATAAAGTACTTCTGCTACACAGAGTAAAGATAATATTTTAAGCCCATTAGGTATGATTTTCGCCTTAACTGTTTGATATATGTAGATAATAAGGGGTGTATAGTGGAGTCTTAAAAAATAAAATACCTTTAATAATGGTATAATCTTTATTAAAACAATTAATATGAAATAGTGATATACTATATAGTAGTCCATGCTTTGGGCGCCTTCAGTTGAAGCCGAGTTTTCTTTTATCTTTTTCTCAACCTTAAAAAATAGGATATACAGAAACAGAAATATTGAGTTTAAAAGAGCAATTGCATGTAGGTTAAAAAATCTAAAGCTCAAGTGTAATTTGTTGATAATCAAAAACTCATGAAGATTCCATCTTTTATAAATTCATTTGTATATGGTTTATGTTAGAAAACATCTGACATTTTAATTTTACGAGAATAAGAAAACAACGTAAGATGTAATGAGTTGCTGCATTCATTAGTGAATAAAGCTTCCTGTGACCTCCTTATTATCTGTTTGAAATGTATTTATATACATAAGTGGCCTTCAACTTGTCGTTTAGATATATCGACGACATATTATCAATTCACAATAGTAAATACTGCTCATATGTCGATTCGATATATCCCAGTGAACGTGAAATAAACGATACCACTGACTCTGAAACATCTGTTTCATATTAGGACATCGTACCAGATAAAGACGTTAATTGTAAGCCAACAACAATACTTTATGATGAACGTGATAGCTTTAACATTTCTATCGTCAACTTTTCTAATTTATGAAACAATATACCCTTGTCTCCTGCATTGGCTATATGTCTCCCAGTTGATTCGATAGCAGTAGGGTGAGTTAACCATGCATCGGACACATACCTTGCTTCGGACAACTTTAAGCAATAAACTTTCATTGAACATGTGTCTCCCCGTGTTTTTACTTGTTTCTGTCTTAAAGATTTAAACTTTTTAATGATGCCGAATTTTATTTTTATGTTGTGATAAAAATACCACAAGAATGGCCTTGAAATTACGTCATATTTTGCATCATCAAAGGGGAGTAACCAGAATTTTACGATTTTTCAATTTTTAGAGTTGTCGCTCTTCTAAATAGACTTCAACGGAGCGAGTCGGACCTAGGTAAAATTTGTCAATGATTGATAATTTCACAGAAATTTTTCAAAAATTTTACTTCAGAGTTTGTACAATATTTTTTAAAAGTTGAATTTTACTTGTATATTTATTTCACCGTACATCGGACACAAATTAACCATGCATCGGACACTTTCTGATGCATGGGTAATCACTTCCATTTTCATTTAAAACCCAAATCACAGATTTTTTTACGGAAATAGAAAATAAAAACTCTAAGTTTTCAGTGAAAATACAAGTTATCGATATATGACGACTAGAAGTGGACTCAATTTATTTCTTTTAACTAGATGATGATAACCCACGAGACAAAGGTGCGAGTTGCCATATAACTAGCATTGTAAAGCCTTTCTAAGGCGATGTGATGCACCTAAAATCTCTTCACATTTGTGGATCGAAATAATCATTCAAATTTAAATAGAAGGTTAGTTTTTAAATAGAAGATAAAAATGTTTCGAAATCATTAATTTTAAAGCACCGAGATCAAGGTATTATATTTTTTCTGGTTTAAATACTGTGTGTTCGATGCATGGTGCACGTGTATATTGTCCGATCCATGGTGAATTTTGACTTATCTCGTAAAAATCGGGTTTTAATGATATTTTCTCAATAAATAGCACACAATTGTGTCAAAAATTTATATTTTAACCACATGCTACATGTTAAGTTCTATTTTGATAATATTCAGTCATTAGCGTTATTGCTAGAACTTGTTAAAGTGCGAGGGTGTCCGATGCATGGTGAATTCACCCTACAGTTAAGGTGCGCAATGGAAATATTTTCAACACTCATTTTAGTTTGTGAAAAGTGCTGCAGTTCCATATTTATTCTACTATTTCATATTTGTATTACCACATATTGGTTTTCTTTTTGCTAGTCAACTGCATATGTACCATCTTTGATTTTCATGCCTGCTCTCCTTTATCAGACGAATGATAAATCTTGCATAAAGATCGAAGAAACATCAAATCTGTTCGAATAGATATACTTCGCGAAGTCATCCAAGCAAATACCCATTTCTTCTGAACAATTCAAAAACAACCATTACCTTATTTGTCTTCTTTTCCAAACAATGATATATTTTTTTCTGGGCTTCAACGGCGCCATACTATTGAATTATATTCTGTATTTATAAAAGTTATGGCCTTCATGGATTTTTGTAAACTTGTTAAAGCTATTAAGATTCTGAAATTACAAAGTGTATAACCTTGAAAAATTTAAACAAAATGGAAAAATAAATATATATTTGCTTACAAGGTCATTAAAATGACCCAGGAATTTTCGAAATGCTGACTTTGATGACTGTTGGAAGCCCTGTTACATTTTTATTTATTAGTTTTCTGCCTGTTTAAAAGATGATTGTATACAGAGCATTTTTCTAGCGTACCGAATAAGATGGAGACTTACACACCATATAATCAGTTGGAATAAGAAGTGGCCGATTCGGAAGTCATCACCTTTGTCAATAGTTGAGTTGTTAGTTGACAATAAACGTTTATTATTAGTAAAATATCAAAATATGAAACGAATGAAAAAAAGAGAGATTAAGATAACAGTTTTATCCAATAGGCACTGTGACGTACATATTGTGCAATTTTTGTGTGTGTGTGTGTGTGCTAAAATTCAATAGGTGAAATATTTTATCTAAATATAACGAACAGTAATCAAGCTCAAATGTCCATTGGAACATTACATAGGAGAAGAGCAAACGTGGACCTTTAAAAATCATCAGACGTGAGATCAGGTACCATGGAGGAGTAAGTATCCTCTGACGACGGATCACACCTGCTGTTGCTCATTGACTTGATTGGGCAAACGTAAAATCCGTAGACAATTTAGTGTGAAATTAATGGCCTAACAATTTGTATGAAAAACGTTAATCAACATTCAACTTAGCGATAGATTGCATATGCTAACAAGGTCATTGTATCGAACATAATATTTGCGAATTGTTGACAAACGAGACTGTTGAAATCCTTTTATTATTAACTTATTTGTCAATAGCTTGACTCGTTTTAGACATTGTTCGTAAAATAAGTAGAACATGCTCTCGCGTATCGAATCAACTGGGAGACATAAACTCCATATGCAGGTAATAATGGTATATTGCTACATAAATAGCTACATAGATAAGGGATGTAGACGATAGAAAAGTTGAAATCGTCACGTTTATCAGCTGGGAGGTAATTCTGCATCGTCGAAAATTGACCCCGGTCATTTTTCTACGGACGTCATTATTCGCCTTTATATTGGAACTTGGGCGCTATTAATTAAATGTGTCTTTCCGGAATTTAACTACGTTAAATAACTTATGGAGAACCCTGTCCGTGTTACATGTATTCTATGAGCATGGAACAAATATCTCGGAAGAGGAAGAAAAAACGGAAAACCATCGCAACAATTTCTAGATGCATTTTTATATTTGATATTTATCAGAGTCTCCCCCTCTCTCTCTCAAAACTTTTATTTCTTGTTTGTATTTATTTATATTTTCTGTTTTTCGTTTATTCAGTAATATTTTATTTTCAAATCACCCAAATTATCTTCATTTTAAACTTTAATTTTTCATATATGTACGAGGGGTGATCAAAAAGTTCGCGAACTATTGAATGACTTCCTTAAAAGAAATAAAATGAGGTTTCAGTGTTTATTATTTTTTAAAGTAGTCCTCTCCGATTTAATGCACATCTATCATTGTTCTGCCCATGCGCGAATCATGTGATCCAGGCGGTCACGTGACATACGGTCTGTTCACAGAAGCTACAAGATTTTTCCAAGTCTTATATTTCTTACCATTCAAGTTATTATTTATAATAAGAACAGACAATCTGTCAGAAATGAACAAATCTCAGCAATAGGATTGGTGGATAAGGATATCCCTTTCCAGTTGGGCGCCTTCTTTTCTTCATATCTCATATGTTTAAAGCGTGAAGTAAACGATATTTTAGAGATTAATAATTATATTATTGTTAATATATCTATTTTTCGAATTGTAATATGGCGTTTTTATTTTATTTTATTTATTTTTTTTTTTTTTATTTTTTTTTTATTTTTATTTTTATTTTTTTTGTTCATGAATAATAGCTCAACTAAGGACACATCTTTTCCCCGGCTTGCTTTCGCTGGGTAACAGAACAAACATCATTTTTAACCATCTCCCCGCTTTCTCTAAAACAATCAATCCAATTAATGATTGAACTTCTGGTAAGTCTTTTGTCTTCATAAACCTTGTACAAATATCATATTCTACTGAAAGGAATTTCCAAGATATACGTTAAACTTTACAGCCTTTCGTTGCTCTAGTACGACTGAGTCAACAATTTTTTGTCACATGTGACCTACATATTGACGTCATTTTCATATTGTGACGTCACAAACACGGAGCAAAACATTATATAACATCTTCTATTAATAGAACATGGGTATGACTTTATACATGTATGTGCCAAATCTCATTCTGATCTGAATTGTGGTTTTGTAAGTACATAGATAGTTCACGAACTTTTTGATCACCCCTCGTAATTATCAAATAACTGGTATCTTTTTAAGCAATTTGCTTCGATAATGTAAGTAATGGTTGTGGAAAGTATAAGAAATTGCCTTTCATTGTAATTTGTGACAGTGTTTAAGCGTTTGCAAAATTTATTTAGATGATGATATTTAGCTATAAAAAATATGAGATATTGAAGATATATTTTTCAAATTATTTAACATAATAAAAATTACCAAAAAATAGGCATTGTCTGGTTTACTTGTGACCCTCTGCACCATGGCTTCATTTGGACCTTCTGAAGGATTCTATAAAGATATTAAAAAATTAATTAAAAAAAATATCGCCGGCATTGTTGTAGAATACTTGCACACTGTATATCATTTTAATGTCGAAACTCTCATTTTCCTTCTTGCAGGTCAACAAAACTGTTCGTCAAGAAGTTTTTTTTTATCATTTTAAGCTCATTCTATGTAGAGTCAAAACATATGTTAATAAGATACATTAAAAATTATTGAATTCCTTTTAGCTAACAAGACCCAAAGACTCAAATGAACTTTTTCGATCGAAATTTGTTATTTGTCATTAATTTTTGTCTTGTTGCTCTTGTTTTTGTTAACATTTTTACATTTTCAACTTTATTTCTAAAATCACTGACATACTGTAAAATAATTTTGCACTAAAGAAACTATGCATAATGGAGATTCAAGTTTGTTGAAATGTAAGACCAGTCCTCTTTAAAGAAGGAAAATAAGGAATCACGGGATGAAAAGCTGCAAAATAGATAATGGCTTTCTTAGCGCCGTGTAATTTCGAAGCTGTACACTTTATGGCCCGAATTATTGCCCCTGGAATAGGTTTTAGCCACGATTAGATATAAATGTTCAGTATAGGATATTTTAAGGTTTATGAATAAGTCAGCATATTTAGGAAGTGCAGATTCAATGTTGTTCAAAACTAAAACATCAAGGATAGGAATGGGCCACAAGAGAAGAAAAACTTTTACATGGGAATATATAAAAAAACATGTACCTCTTCCTATAAAGAATCAGTCATATTAATAAGCTAGGTTCCTCAGATAGTACAGATTCAGGTGTTCTAAACTTGTTAAAGGTATTGGACTACCTTGGAACACAAAATCCTTTTCTCAAAAAAAAAAAGAAAAAAAAAAGCAGTATTTCTATTGAGTATATGAAAAAAGAACATCCTCAAAAATTACAACAAATAGATTTAAATTGGTTCACTCTTTAGGGTTAACAAAAATTGCAACAATTTTTATATAATGTAGAGAGGCAATCTGAAAAACTAGAAAGAAATCGATGTGTGTGTGTGAGTGAGTGTGTGTGTGTGCACTGGGGTTTAAGAATGTCAAAGTGGAGAGGTTTTGGGTTTTTTTTTTTTACTTTTTCTAAACTAATGAGAAACCCTTATGAGAAATGGCATACGGTTGTTATGTTCACCACTTTGGTGCAACAATTGTCGACTTATTACTTTAGATGTTGTTGAATCAAAACAACAAACTATTTATCATTAAAAATTTTGTTTATTTTTGTGATTGTTATTTGATTAATATAAAATATGTTTTCAACATACTCACGTCTTTGTCTGGCTTAGATTTATTTGTACCAGATGCTGGTGGCTGCCAGTTTCGATTCATTATACTTGAAATCCGAAAAATCCTGTAAACATAAAAATGGTATTCTAAGGTAATAGTTGTATTTACATTAATATTGTTAATATATAATATTCTACTTAATCGATATGCACAAATTAAAACAAAATGAGTAAAGAGTACAATCAGACCTATAAATAGGATAAATTTAATAAGAGTTTTTATAAACTCTTACATATAGATATGTACCTCAAGGAAGGACATATAGACACGAGGCCTGCAAGAGAAAACACTCATCTGAGTAAATGTTATTTTTCATTCTCATATTTATATATATTTGAAAGCACTAGAAAACCCAACACCACTGTATATCCTATGTGTCGGATCTACTAAGTAGATACAGGGTCAAATTGTCTTTTGAAAGAATATGTATTTTTAATAATTTGGAAAATATGTGTATGACAAACTGTATTTATTATTTTTGGACTACACATGAACTGTGAAAAATTGATGTGAATGGTGTGATTAAGTGAGCATGTAAGCAACGTATAATTATCTTCTTTAGCCTCTCTAGCACAATCGAAAAAAAAAAAAAAAAACATTACACCTCTGAATATGAAAAGGTTATACAAAATTCACATGATTCAAATCAATTAAAGTTTTTCTATAAAAAGTTTGTCTTTTCATTAGTATATTTTCCGAAATATTGCACGTTACATTCAGTAACTAGTGCTAATTGTAACGGGAACCGTTACAGATGTTCCCCAAACGGCTCCCCAATCCCTTATGATGTCCCATTCCCTACAAGCTTCATTAAATTAGGCAATACTTTTGTAATATAGATGGACTCTTTATTTTTAAGGGTATTTTATTGGAAAACTACTCTCGATATAGCCATATGGGTATTAGCCAATCAAATTTCAGAGCATGTCCTTGCACATGTTTTCTACATTTTTCACATTAATTTTCTTAAAGTGTCTCACAATATATACATTTGTGATAAATATCAAAGAATTTCATTGAACAATAAGAGAGATGTAACCCTTTAAGTATTAGCCTATCAGAATTCAGCATACGCACATGCATGGCCTTGCATTCAATTTTGATAGTATCTTAATGTTGGAGCCCTATGAGCATATCCATGTCGTAAATTTCATCGTGTTTTGTTGAAAACCAAGTGAGTTATAGACATCTAAAGTTTCAGCCAATCAGATTGCAGCACACCTGCCTGCGCGTGGTTTCAAGAGATTTCCTATATAACATGTTGTAGCACCTTATAATATATACTTATATTTTAGATTTCAAAGTATTTCGTCAAAAAAAAACAAGGAAATTATTGAGATTTTTGTATCAGCCAATCAGAGGAGAGCGCACGTGCATGCGCTTGAGTTCACGCTAATTTGACCATGTCAACTTGTCTTTACTACTAATGCATCTTTATATTTTTAGTTCCAAAGCAATTCATCAAGAAATATAGAAGTTTTGGCTTCATCAAGTATATCAGTCATTTCACTCATTGCACGCGCATGCATGTGCGCGCAAAATGACCTTCGTTCCGAACACCTACACAATATGCCTATTAACCCTAAAAAGGTTTCATGTCAATCGGATGAGTGGTTCTATGAGAACACTCCCGGACAAAAAGTTCCGGGAAAAGAAAGTAGAAAAAAAAGAATAATAACTAGAGAGGTCTTCCGTCCGATTCTGAAAATATAAATGAAAATTCAAGCTGAGAAAGTGATAAAAGAATTTCAGACACTCTGGAGATTTAACCCTGACAGTCAGCGTGAAAATCCAACGTGCTAACCATTAACCATTCACTTTTTTGCATCACTTCCTGTCACGACCGGAAGTAACGGCGATACAAGATTTTCTCACGATTCAAATAAACTGATGACTAACTATCGGTCCTGAAAGTTTTAGACTTCAGTCGTTCAGTGTTGCCGAGCAATATTGTGAGAACAAATTCTAATTCTAATTCTGAGGACAGGTAAACACGCGAATGGAAGTGAACTTTATTTAAAAAAAATCTCTGACTTTTCTCTAGACATTTGCAGTATCTACAACATACATAAAATTATTTCAAGTACTTTATCGATAAGCAATATATACGAGAAAGTTAAATATAAAAATAGCGTAGTTTATCTTCTAAATCCGGAAGTTGACGTTTTTGTTTCCGGTGGAATCTAACATATTTCAAAACAGCGAAAGAGATGCAATAAAGTGATGCAAGTTTTAATTCAAAAAAGAAAAATTAAAATTTTTTGATTTCTTTGATCACTTCCTGTGACAAGCGGAAGTGACGACTGACACGTTTTACCCAAATGGTTTCGCCTACTCCTCAAGGTCGATTACTCATAAAAGTTTGGTCTTTTAATCTTTTACCTGTTTTTGAGAACTTACTCATACAACTTCTCATTTTGAGGACAGAAAAACACGCGACCGGAAGTGAATTTTTGAAAGATATTTAAGGTTACTCTAGACATTTGCACTCTGAATAACATACTTAAAATTCATTTCAAATATTTTATCTATAAAGAATATTTATGGGAAAGTAAAATACTCAAATTATTTAGTTTTCCTCTTTTAACCGGAAGTTGTCGTTTTTGTTTCCGGTGGGACAAACATCTTTCGAATCTGCGAAAAAGATGCAATAAAGTGATGCAATTCTTAATTAAAAAAAGAAAAGTTGAAATTTTTGATTTCTTTGATCACTTCCTGTGACGACCGGAAGTGATGGCTGACGCTCTGAACCCAAATGGTTTTGCCTACATCTTAAGGTCTGTTGCTCATTTAAGTTTGGTGTCTTACTGACAAGCGGGGTAGACGACTGATTCCAAATGGTTTTGGATAACCTCCTAAGGTCTGTTGCTCTTATAAAGTGTCTTAATCTCTTATTAAGTGTCTTAATCTCTTCCCGTTTTCGAGATCTTGCTCAGGCAACTTCTAATTTTGAGGACAGAAAAACACGTGACCGGAAGTGAATTTTACAAAGATATTTGAAATTACTCTAGATATTTGCAGTCTGAATAAACTATATGAAATTTATTTCAAATACTTTATCTACAAAAGATATTAATTGGAAAGAAAAATACTCAAATTATGTAGTTTTTCTCTTATAACCGGAAGTTGTCGTTTTTGTTTCCGGTGGGACCAACATATTTCGAAACTACAAGAGATGCAATAATGTGTGGTAAGTATTGATTTAAAAAAGGAAAGTTGAAATTTTACGATTTCTTTGATCACTTCTGGTGACGAACGGAAGTACTGACGACTCATAAAGAAAATTGTTCCTCATATCTACAACTCATGCTCTTTTATCTTTGAAAAGTCTCCACTTCTTTTCTTTAGCCACTCTTGAGAAAATTCGCGGACAACATTTCATTTTAAAATCAGGAAATTGCCCATAACTTGGAACCAGAAGAGAATTTTCAAAATTTTCTTAGCCATGCCACAAGAACATATCATTGCTCACAAACCCTGAAAGTTTCACAGAAAATCACTAAATAGTATTCGAGATATCGCGTGCACAAAATTTTGTCTAAAAATTAATAATAATAATAATAACTAGAAACTCATTGCGAGCAATGAGAGGTCTTCCGTCCGATTTTGAAAATAAAAACGTAAATTCAAGCTGAAAAGGTGATAAAAGAAATTCAGACACTCTGGAGATTTAACCCTTGTCGCCAGCGTGAAAATTCAATGTGCTAACCATTAACCATTCAATTTTTTGCATCACTTCCTGTCACGACCGGAAGTAACGGCGATACAAGATTTCCTCGCGATTCAAATAAACTGATGACTGACTATCAGTCCTGAAAGTTCTAGACTTCAGTCGTTTACTGTTGCCGAGTAATATTGTGAGAACAAATTCTAATTTTGAGGACAGATAAACAAACGACCGGAAGTGAATTTTATAAAAAAAATCTCTGACTTTTCTCTAGACATTTGCAGTATCTACAAAATGTATAAAAACATTTCATGTTCTTTATCGATAAGCAATATTTATGAGAAATTTAAATATCGAAATAACGTAGTTTATCTCCTAAAACCGGAAGTTGACGTTTTTGTTTCCGGTAGAATCTAACATATTTCAAAACAGCGAAAGAGATGCAATAAAGTGATGCAAATTTTAATTTAAAAAAGAAAAGATAAAATTTTTGATTTCTTTGATCACTTCCTGTGACGACCGGAAGTTACGACTGACGCGTTTACCCAAAATGGTTTTGCCTACTCCTCAAGGTCTGTTACTTGTAAAAATTTGATGTTTTAATCTTTTACTTGTTTTTGAGATCTCACTCAGACAATTTTTCATTTTGAGGACAGAAAAACACGCAACCGGAAGTGAATTTTTGAAAGATATTTGAGGTTACTCTAGACCTTTGCAGTCTGAATAACATATTCAAAATTCATTTCAAATACATTATCTATAAAGAATATTTATAGGAAAGTAAAATACACAAATTATGTAGTTTTTTCTTATAACCGGAAGTTGTCGTTTTTGTTTCCGATGGCACCAACATCTTTCAAATCTGCGAAAAAGATGCAATAAAGTGATGCAATTTTCAATTTAAAAAAGAAAAGTTGAAATTTTCGATTTCTTTGATCACTTCCTGTGACGACCGGAAGTGACGACTGACGCTCTGAACCCAAGTGGTTTTGGCTACATCTTAAGGTCTGTTGCTCATATAAGTCTGACGTCTTAATCTCTTACCGTTTCCGAGATCTTGCTAAGACAACTTCTCATTTTGAGGACAGAAAAACACGCGACCGGAAGTGACTTTTACAGAGATATTTGAAGATACTCTAGACATTTACTGTCTGAATAACATATTTAAAATTCATTCCAAATACTTTATCTACAAAAGATGTTAATGGGAAAGAAAACTACTCAAATTATGTAGTTTTTCTCTTATAACCGGAAGTTGACGTTTTTGTTTCCGGTGGGACCAACATATTTCGAAACTACAAAAGAGATGCAATAACGTGATGTAAGTATTGATTTAAAAAAGGAAAGTTGAAATTTAACGATTTCTTTGATCAC